ATTAAATATCATCCAGAAAAATCAAAACCGCGATATCGCGGTATGTTCGTTTTTTCGATATTTTGGTGAAAACAGTATTTTTGACGTTTTTTTATTTCTGTGATGGTTTTAAATATCGCCTAGCTCTAATTTATTTAGTAGGACGTTAAACCCCATTTCATTTCATTTCATTTCTAATGCATTTATATTTTGCCTAGTTTCTTTACAAATCGATTTTTTTACGAGGATCCAAATATAAGATGCACATAATATATTGATCACATTTGTTCAGTGATTGTCATTGTGGGCCATGTTATACCATGCTCAATTCCGCCTTATGTAGATTCATTTATATTTGTCTTAGATTCTAGACAAATATACTTTTTTAGGAGATTCAAATAATATAAGTATAAGATGTAAATAATACACTCAGTCCTTTTGACCCAGCTTAAATATGCAAATGAATTGATACATTTTCTGTAATCTACATACTGAACTGACTTTTGAGACCAATTTTGACTTTATGTTTGCCCACATTGAAATGTTAGAAACTTGCAATCAATAGAAACAGGTATCACAAACCAATTAAAGAATGTATGTTGTCATATATTGATTGTATGTCCATCAGAAAATCGTCCACAATTCAATCTTGCTATTTACTGATTGATATGAGGGCTAGCTGAATAGTTCTAAGCCTGAAAAGGATAGATCAATTGGCTTATTGAAATCACCAGAAATGGACAAAACTGGCTACAGGGCAGTCATCAAGTACCTGCAACTGAAAAGACTAACTCCAACACAGCTAGATACATGCCGACATGGTCTCCAAAGAAGTGGGCTGCAGAATTTAGGCGTGGCAAATACAGCCTTGAAGATGACCCCACATCCTTGAAGGCCATCAACAGCAACCGTTCAAGAAAACATTACTCAGGTGCATGGTGATGGCTGATCTATGATTGATCACTTGACATATTTCCAGTGTTGAGCACATTATCGGCAACGAGTTAAGAATGACAAAAAGTTTCTGCAAAATGGGTGCCAAAGGTCTTGTCTGCGGATCGGAGACCTGCTTCCAAAAATGAATAAGGAGCTACCTGTTTCCGCCTATTCTTCATCAAATTTCTACTGTCCCATCTGAAAAACTAGACACTGTTCCTTTCCAGTCCTCTATTCTGCACTACTGACAAAAGGAAGCCATGGTTGAAAATAATAGTGAACTTTATCAATCAATACCGACATCAAATCCTGGAAGTCCTGTATAGTGAGCCAGTGACTATCAATTTCTAATTGTCCCATGCCTTTCTATGAAAGCAGCAGACTATTGACATGGGTTTGTCCATCAGTCGGTATGTTTGTCTGTACGTCACACTTTTAGGGACAGAATAACTCTGCTTCTAATTGGGGAAGAATGTTATAGTTGGTTTAGATGTCCATTAGGTGAATATCTTGACTGAGTTTGATAATGAAAATTTTCTGCTTGGGCTAAGCAGCTGGTTGGCTGTCTGTCATTTACACCTTGTATTCTTTTTTTTTCGATTATTGCATTTTATATACTAAATTTGAAAGTTTTTGATAAATACTGCTAGAGTTATTACCCTTGATTATGCCTATGTTGTACAACCAGACACCAGTTGCTTTTTATTTGACTAATGACAACTTTTTGTAGATGGATGTATGACTTGCAATTGGCTGCTGTTAGTCTCGGACACCCAGACCCTCTTAATCTTCCACATACCAAGTTTATGAGCCAATTGTCCATATTTGACAATATTTCACTGGATAATCAACCACATCAAATGATAATTCTTAAAGTAATTTCATTGGGGTCAATATCTTGTTTCAGGGCTATTTAATTAGTTCCTTTATTATGCTCTGTAACTGCAAACAGTAAATGTTATATAAGATAAGATGTTTATTGCATCAAAACGTCCATGAAGGACAGCATGCATTCAATAATACATAGACAACTCATTACATTCATACAAACAGTAGAGGACCGCACTACACGCAAAACAAAAATCTACAAGATAAACCTGCGGACAAGACAGAAAAATAGACATTGCACCAAATAAACAAATATCAAATCAAGTGAATTGAAGGGGTTTCAGTTACATGTAGTTGCCACCAAATTTGATTTAGCTCTCTTATCAAAAGCCAAAAACACATATGAAAACATAAAAGACTGGATATTCTAGCCAATGACATAGATATGCTCTAGTGTTAACAACCCATCGAAACTAATATTTGTAAAATATTTGTCTGAATGATAGAGACAATGCTGCTGACAGCATTTGTCTTGTTGCCAGGTAACCTATAGCTATCTTTGAAAACAGCACAGAATTCTCAATCGAATTTTAAAAAAATATGATAAGATTATTCACAAAGAATACAGAACAATCCTGTTGATATTTTGAATGTTCTGATTACAAATATCTAGCTTTGATCTTGTAATATAAAAAAGATGAAGTTTTAGGTGATATTTTAGATAAATTGGTGGGACTTTTCAATGGATGGTCTAGTGGTTTGACGTGTGCGAGTGATGGTCTGTCATTGAGTCAAGTGGAGTGGTTTCAATTTTCTGCTTGAATGTGACAAGTTGTAGGTTGCCTGTCCAACGTCGTGGGTTTGGGTCCTCCGTTTTCCTCCCACTGCTAAAAACCCCTACAAGACCCCTTCCCGCAAGCTTTTATTGAAATAAAAATTGAACCATATGTTAATTTAGTCCTGAAATGACTTACTTTGTGTTGAGTGGACATTAATCCTAAAATATCTCTCTCTCTCTCTCTCTCTCGCTCTCTCTCTCTCTCTCTCTCTTTTAATGTGGCAATGAAGAACCCCTCTGAAATTCAGAATTTTATGATCTGAAATTACGAAATTTGCTATCTGTTAAACAGTTTTAAAGTGATAATTGCATATTTTCTAAGTAGTCAAAACACAATTATTTCTATATCTTTTGCCTTTTGAATCACTATTATACAATCATAGGTATCATTCTAGCACATGGGAATTTGAAATTTTTCTACTCAACAGTGGTACTTGGAAATTATTTAGTTTCTTTTCACTGGAAAACTAAGTCTGCATAATGGCAATGGGGAAATCTGTGGGAGTTGTCTTGATTGTCAAGGTCTTTGATCAAACAGATAAGAATAATGATGACGGATTTGACCAAGAAAATCTGCACGTCATATTGTTCTAATAATAACACCACTCCCTGGAATTGGCGAACCTCAACGTTGATGTTTCAATTTGAAAATGATATATTTGCCAATTGGTCAACTGATAATGTAAAAGTGAATTTTTGGATTAATAGGATTATTCTTAAGTAGGACTGTGTATAGATTTCATGTGTTTCAAAGATACAATTTCATATTTTTAAGTTATATTTTTAAAATGTATTAAAATAAAGCCCTAAAATAGATGGTATCTATAAACAGTCCTACCTTGTTAAAGAATAATCCTTTTAATCCTATAATTCACTATTGCCAGTTGAGAAATTAGCAAAAATATCATTTTCAACTTCAAATTCAAACATTTGAAGATAGCTAAATCCATGGTGGGGAATAGGAAAACAAGGGAGGTAATTGTGTTATATTTCTGGTGTGTAGATTTTTAAGTGTGAGAAAGATAACCTATGATCGTATAATAGTGAGTTGACAACCTATTGAGCAAAAGACATAGAAATAATTATGTTTTGACTTTCTTAGAAAATATGAAGTTGTAACTTTAAGGCTTTATTTTAACACATTTCAAACACATGACTTAAAAAATGTAACTATTGCTTTAAGCTTGCCCAGATACAGCATATATACATACTATATCCCAATTTAATTTTTATACGCCCACATTTTCATGTGGACGTATATTGTCTTTGCCCCTGTCCGTCCGTCCACAATTGTTTGTGAACAGTCTACAGGTCACAATTTTTATCCGATTTCAATGAAACTTGAAATATAGGTTTATCACCCAAAGATCTCGGTTCCTTTTGATATTGGTGTGTATCGGACTGTAACTTCATGAATTATGGCCCCTGATTGTACGAAAAATCACGTTTTTAGCTTGTGAACACTGTAGAGGTCACAATTTTTATCCGATTTGGTTTAAACATGAAATGTATGCTTATAACCCAAAGATCTTGATTCCTTTCGATATTCGCGCATATCGGAACATAACTTTCTGTACGAAAACCGATTTAAAAAAAACATATTATTATATCACCGTTAAACAGTAAGGACGGCCGAGTTCGAATTTTGTGAAAATCGGCCCAAAACTGACAGACAAAATGACCGCCGTTCGTTCTCAAATTGCGTAAAAATATGGTATATCAAGGTTGTGGACCCTATAGAGGTCACAATTTTTATCCGATTTTGTTGAAACTTGAAATGTAGGTTTATAATCCAAAGTTCTTGGTTCCTGTCGATATTTGCGCATATCGGACCGTAACTTCCTGAATTATGGCCCCTGATTGTATGAAAAATTGCGTTTTTAGCTTGTGGACCCTATAGAGGTCATAATTTTTATCTGATTTAAAAAAACGTATTATTATATCATCGTTACACCCTAAGGAAGGCTGAGTTTGAATTTCGTGAAAATCGCCCAAAAACTGAGAGACAAAATGGCCGCCCCTCGTTCTCAAATAGCGTAAAAATATGGTATATCAAGTTTGTGGACCCTATAGAGGTCACAATTTTTATCCGATTTTGTTGAAACTTGAAATGTAAGTTTATAACCCAAAGATCTCGGTTCCTTGCGATATTTGCGCATATCGATTTGTAATTTTCTGAATTATGGCCCTTGATTGTAGGAAAAATCACTTTCTTTTTAGCTTGTTCTCTATCCATCTCTCGAAAATGTGGCCGTATCCTGCCTGGCAGCCACTGGTTTGTACTTCTAGTTTAGCTTGTAAATGCAGAAAAGGATGGCTTAGTTGCTGGTGAAGTAATTTGGGGTTCTGACAAGCCTCTTAATTTGTTTCAAACTTTCATACATGTACCACATTATTGAATGTTTTTATTTACTTGTAGGAGAAAAACCTTACAGATGTAACGTAGAAGGGTGTGAAAGAGCCTTCGCACAGTTATCTAATCTTCAACATCATTTACGAAACCATGATGATCAAGTTAAAAAAGCATCAACTAAGCAGTTTAAATGTGTTATTTGCCATCGATGTTATACAAATGAAAGCAGCTTGAAATCACATACTTTAAAAGTAAGAATAAAAAAGAGGGTTTTTTTTTATATACACCTACCTACATTCGTCTATTCTTTTCATCTAATTATCCCCTGTGTCTGGACACCAAACTGGAAAGTCTCATGTTTAAATTTCAGAAATATGTGGAATTTTCTAACTTTAGTTCTTATTTGTCTTGATTCTAGTGGGAACTGTCAACTGGATGATGCATTACACTGTGGTCCACTCTAAACATTGACTATGCTCATTGCAAAATTATGTCAAAAGCAGATAGACTTTAAGCATTATTCATTTGCTATCCTTCACATTCACATTTCCTCGTACCTGCTTATATACAGACATGGGTGTGTTGTACTTTTGGTAAGGTGCTTATAAAAAATTTGATAGTTGGAGGGCAGGTAGTCGTGGAAAAGCTGCTATTAGGGTAATGTTATCCCACTTGATGTAATAAACATAACTCCCCCGATGTACAAAACCTTGTTTGCATTTTACAGGTCATATTTAAATTGTGTTTTGTTGAACTGGTTAAATGGAAGACACAACTGATTTTGAATGATTTATGAGAAATGCTTTCAGAGTTACATTTGATAATACTCTACAGGTCACAATTTTCATTGGATTATTTTGAAATTTTGAAAGGGAACATCCTGTCTGATATAAAATGATTTCCAACAATTACTACCAAAGTTACACCTTTAAATTGTTCATGAGAGGCAGACAACTATTGTTTTTGAATTATTTCTTGATGTTATTACAACAGTTGCTCCTCTTGATTTATGAAACCTTGTTTAACACTCTAGGTCACTAAAAACTAAAACTGAATAATTTGAATAAGCTATTTAACTAATTGAAAGGAAATTGCCACAGTGGTTAAGTAGGTAAGACGCTGGCTCGCTAGCCTGGATGTTGGGTGTTCAATCCCTGCATTGGCTGAGAAAATTCATCAGGATTTTCCGATGCGGTTTCCCCATGTCAGAGTTGAAGGACGGGGGGGCTGACAAGGATAGCTATCTAGTCGTTCGGATGAGACGAAAAAATGAGGTACCGTGCATACATTGGCGTGCATGTAAAAGATCCCTTGGCAGTTGGAATTCGATATCAGATAGCCATAGTGCTGTCCAGGCAAAATTACCCTTATAGCACACTGTATGGTGTATGCCAGTCTTCATTAGAGCAGTAGGACGTTAAACCCCATTTCATTTGCAACAATTAGAACCATTGATTTGTGAAATCGTACTTACAATCTAGAGGTCACAATTATATCGTCAGATCTTTTGTGTGCTCAACCTATTGAGTCTTCATAATGATTTTTAAACATATCCAGTGGAGGATATTTTTATTGTCTTGGCTTTTTATACCCCCATATTTTCATGTGGACGTATATTGTCGTCGCCCCTGTCCTTCCTTCTGTCCACAATTGTTTGTGAACACTCTACAGGTCACAATTTTTATGCGATTATCACCCTATGATCTCAGTTCTGTTCGATATTGGCAATTATCTGACTGTAACTTCATGGATTATGGCCCCTGATTGTACGGAAAATCATGTATTTAGCTTGTGAACACTGTAATGGTCAATATATTTAACCGATTTGGTTTAAACTTGAAATGTATGTTTATAACCCACAGGTCTCGGTTCCTGTCAATATTCGCGCATATCGGACCATAACTTTCTGAATTATGGCACCTGATTGTACGAAAAATCGCATTTTTAGCGTGTGGACCCTATAGAGGTCAAAATTATTATCCGATTTAAAAAACATTCAAATATATCACCGTTACACCGTAATGTTTGTTGAGTTCGAATTTTGTGAGAATCGGGCCAAAACTGCCGTACAAAATGGCCGCCCCTTGTACGCAAATAGTGTAAACATCTGGTAAATCAATGTTGTGGACCCTCTAGAGGTCAAAATTTTTTTCCGATTTTAAAAACCATTCCACCATAATAAAGGTTGAATTCGAAATTTTGGGAAAAATCGAAATGAAACTGCCCGACAAATGGACGCTCTTTGTACGCAAATTGTGTAGAGGTGTGTAATACAAAGGTTGTGGACCCTCTAGAGGTCACAATTTTTATCCGTTATTGATGAAACTTAAAACATATCTTTATATCCCAAAGATCCCAGTCACTTTTGATATTTGCACATTTGGATGGTAACTGCCTATCAATACAGTTTCTGATTCACTCTTATGCACATCTCATTTCTTATGATAAAGTTATCTGATCTTTATCTTCATTGACAGTGTTAGCTATGCAACCTTCCCAAATAAATAATTAGTGGCATCAGGTGGTGTAGCAGAAAATATCTGTATAAATTGCCACGGACTATGCTCAGTGAAATAATAATTACATTGAACTACATGACTGTCATAAGATAACTAAAACATGGTTTGAAGTCATACTCTTCAAAAGGGTATAGTTTATGACCTTTGCCTTTGGCAAATTGTACCATTAACAATTATAGTTGCATTTTATATGCTATGGCATTTCTAAATACAACTAGAACTGCGATGCAGTAATGACAGGTTTCACCGGTGCCATGTTACCCTTGAACTTATGTCACGTCCGGTGCCATGTTGCCATTGAACTTATGACACTTTCGATGCCATGTTACCCTTGAACTTATGTCACTTCCGGTACAAGTGAAACCGTTCAACAGATTTCCACATAAGCATTGCACATGTGTTATTAAATGGACGCAGAATCAACCAAAACCAGCAATATCAATTCCATTTATACATTCGTTACCATGTGTTAACATATGTCAAAAAAGTGATCCTGACAAAATTTGTTACTAAATTACCGCTAAGTTAGCTGACTTTCTAATGGGAAATTGAATGCTAAAAAATTCTTAAAAAGTGATCCTGACAAAATTGTTTATTTCTTGACAAGGGAAGATGCAAGAATCAATTTTTTGATATCTATATGATCGTATTGTCCACTGGAATCAAATATCATAATGTTAAACGAATAATAAATATAACTCCCCAAAAATATTTGTTTGAAGACTAAAACAGTTTTTGCCAAAATGACATTACTTCCGGTGATAATGAAAATGTTTAATTATTTTTATGAAATCATAAATGGCATAAGGCATCACATGGTGAAAATTTTATGAAAATCAAACAATAATTGACACTTTTATAGACCAAAAACCTTGAAAAGTTAGATGTAGAAAATCATAATTTTCTCTGCAACCATACAAATTATGAACCATTCTGTGCTATCTGTATGACCGTATGGGTTCATTCTATTTGTTGATTGGAATCAAATATCATAATTTTAAAAACATTACAAATCATACTCATTTGAATGAAATATCTGTTTTGAAAGCTAAAAATACAGTTTTTGCTGAAATGCCGTCATTTTCGGTGACAGTGAAAATGTTAAATTGGTTTGACCTAGTCAAAATTGTCATTAGGCTTCAAATTGTAAAAAAATTGAAAATCGAATGACAATTGACACTTTTACAGGCAAAATAACATGAAAAGTGATGCATGCAAAATCGCCTATTTCTCGGCAACTATGCATATTACAAATTAATTTTCACATATATTTTCTTTCATATGGATTATTGCTACGAAAAAAACAATCATCATCAGAACTGCAACGCAGTAATGACAGGTTTCACCAGTGCCATGTTAACCTTTGAACTTACTTCACTTTCGATACCAATGAAACAGATTTCCACATAAGCATTGGACACCTTTTATATAATGGAAGCAGAATCAACCAAATCCAGCTATACCAATTCCATTTATACATTTGTTAGCACGTATTACATGTCAAAATAGTGATCCTGACAAAAATGATTAATAACTTACGGCTATAAAGTTAGCGAGAGAGAGAGAGAGAGAGAGAGAGAGATATATGGGGTTTAACGTCCACTCAACACAGACTAGGTCATTTCGGGACTAACACATGGTTTAAATTTTATTTCAATAATTCGCTTGCACGTAGGGGTCTTTAGCAGTGGGAGGAATCCCGGAGGACACGGAGAAAACCCACGAGGTTGGACAGGCCACCCTACTCCTTGTCATGTACAACCGGGGTATCGAAAACACGCCAGTTGACTCAATGACAGACCTTATGATATAGTGCGCATGTCTCTTAGGAGACTGGCCAAACTCCTATAGAACCAACAGGAGGGATGAGGTTGTTTTGTGTTGCTCTCGCATTGGTCGTACCTTTTTAACTTATATTTTCATTTTGAAGCGAGAGCCTCAACCAGAATGTGTTCACTGTCATGTTCCTTTGACAGTAAAACACATCTTGATTGAGTGCAAGCATTTCAAGTATATCAGATCTAAATACTACCATTGCCAGTCAGACGTCAGCTATTTGCTGAACCGGAGCTATATGATAAAGTGCGAACATTTTTAAGAGGCAAACTTTTATTCTCAATTTTAATTGTATATATTTAATCATGTATATCGTTTTAATATTTAAATATGTTAAAGATTTGTTATATTTATTTTTAATTAATATATTTTCTGTGATATTTGTTTTTATTTACATATATAAATTCATTTATGGGATATCTTTTTAATTTGTCTCGTTGGATTCACCATATGTTTGGCGCACTATAGCCCTGTTGAAGCTGACGTGCCATTAAACAACATTTCATTTCATTTGTGAAACTTTTATAAACATCAAATAATAATTAACGATTTTATGAACCAAAAAACCGTCAAAATTGACTTGAAGAAAATCGTCGTTTCACTGCAACTGAACAAGTTATAAACCATTTTGTGATATGTATATGGGTTCATTCTATTTGTTAAATGGAATTAAATATCATACTTTTAAACACATAACAATTAGGACTCATTTGAATAAAATATCTGTTTTGAAGATTATAAATAGTTTTGGACAAAATGACATCATTTCTGGTGTCAATTTTAAATTCTACTTCAATAGATATAATGCACATTTGAATTATGCATCAAATAGAGTTACTTTTATGAATATCCAATAATAATTGACTCCTTTACAGGCAAAATTATGAAAATTGAAT